GTGTCGGCTCACTGCAACCTCTGTCTCCCAGGTTCAAGCAATTCTCCTGCCTCAGACTCCCAAGTAGCTGGGATTACAGGCGCCCACCACCACACCGGGCTAATTTTTGTATTTTTAGTAGAGATGGGGTTTCACCATGTTGGCCAGGCTGGTCTCGAACTCGTGACCTCAGGTGATTCGCCTGCCTCGGCCTCCCAAAAATGCTGGGATTATAGGCGTGAACCACCACGCCCGGCCAGAAGTGGAACTTAAGAGGGGGTAGGAGGGAGGGAGGCCTGCATAGTGCAGCATGCAGACAAGGGCTAGGGCTCTCAAAGAAGCTTCAGGAAGGAGGTAACATCTGAATTAGATCTCAGGAGAGGGGAAGGTTTGCAGCAGGCTCGGTGGAGAATGAGAGGTACCGAGTCAGAGTCCTCAGCTGAGGGATAAGGAGAACAAAGGCAGAGAGGAAGTGGAGGTTGGTGGGCCAGGTGAGTGGCAGGAAGGGAGGGGGCAGGGAATGGGGCTGGCAGGTGAGCCAGCACTGAATCACAAGACCCCGCTGATGCCCTGGTGAGCAGCTTGGCTGTAGTCAGGCGGAAAACTTGTGAACAGGGGAATGGCTGGTATTGGGCTGTGCTTTAAATGGCAAATCTGATTTTACTTTCTAAATGTTAAACTACCTTTAAGCTTCAAGCAATATGTGTTTTCTGGGAGAGCCCCAGGTATAAGTGCTCACCTGGAGGGTGGAGGTGAACTCAAGACACCCAAGAAGAGGCACCTTGGGGATCCATACTGGTGGAAAGGGCGTCACTCTCGGCACCTCCCTTTCCATGTTGAACAGAGCCAAGCTCTTCCCCAAGGCTCTGCCCTCTGGCTGGCATGCCTTGCCTGCCTTTTGTGTGGCTGGCTCCTTCTCCCTTCCAGGTCTCAGCACTGATGTCTCCCCTCATACAGACCTTCCCTGGCCCCTGTCGCTGCTCCATATCATTCTCTCTCAGTCCAACAAACCACAGATCAGGGCAGTGCAAACCCCAGAGGCAGTGAGGCTCCGGACACCTTCATGTGAGCTGAGTGCCAGCACTATTCTCTTTCCCCTGGCACGTTGTAGGCCACAACTGTGATGAAATACATGAATGCAGGTCCCTTTGAAGTGGAACCCAAGGCTGACCTCCCCAAGCCCAGACCTCCAGGACTCTATCCCTCTTTTGTAATTGCAAATCCAGGATTTGGAATAGGATATTCAGCAGGGAAACCACTGCATGAGTCCCATCAAGATTAGGAAGGATAATCTGTTTTACTCCACCTACAAAGTCAGGTGTTAGTATCATCCAGAAACACCCTCGCAGAAACATCTAGAAGAATGTCCAAATATCTGGACGCTCCATAACCAAGTCGAAACATGAAATTAACCATCGTAGGTCCACCTGGCATCTGTGCACAGCTCCTTAAACTCTTAATCCAATTGACTGGTGTTCTTATAAGAAGAGGAAATTGGAGACACAGGGAGACCCCTCGGGCGCAGGCACACAGAGTGATGGCCACGTGAAGGGGCAGCAAAAGAAAGGAGAAAGGCTGTGAGCCAAGGAGAGCGACCACAGAGGAATCTAGCTCTGCGGACACCTTGGTCTTGGACTTCCAGCCTCCAGAACTGTGAGAGAATACATTTCTGTTGTTGAAGCTGCCCATTGTGTGGTGTTTATGTGCCAGCAGCCCTAGGAACCCACCGCCCTTCCAAACACAAACAGGGAAAGCCCTGTTGGAATTTTCTTACTCCTCAGAGGATTTTCTTACTCTTCCCTTTTCTCTGGGCTGCTTTGCGTGCTTTGTCGGTGGCATCTTCCTTACCTCCAGGGTTTGCATTTCTTATTCCTCCACTTTCCTGAAAATCAAGGGAAAGTCCTGCTTATATTTTTCCAGGGAGACTGGTAAGGTAGGGCTCAACGAGCTTGGCGATTCTTCACTCACCACCATGTCAGTGGGAGAATCTGGAAATCTCGGTTCTCAAGTCAAGGCCACTAGCCTAGAAAGTGTCTTCATGTGAATTTGTGAAGGGCATCCTTGCCTGACTCAGGGAGTGGACAGTAGGGGAAGGGGGCCTTGGCAAGCATAGCTATGGTGGACTTCAGCCTCCCCTGCGTGCCGCCGCCACCGTCTGCCTGGGCCTCTCCATCCGCTCCGTGTGCTGCATCATGCTTTCACGTTCTCCTTCACCACACACTACAGAGCAAAGAAGGATAGAGCGCCCTAGGAAGCAATGCCTGGGTCAACAAAATATAGTGAATAACAGCAAGAGGAGGTTGTGTTTCTGTTTGCTTGTGTATCTGCGATATTTACGTCCTCTAATAACAGTTGTTCCAACACAGACAATCTTCAGGAGGAAGCTAGGAAAGTGAGTGACAGTTTCTCTGTGTCCACCGGCTTCTTGGATCAAGTTCAGAAAGTGAAATATTTGGGCTGGACGTGGTGGCTCACGCCTGTAACTCCAGCACCTTGGGAGGCTGAGGTGGGTGGATCACCTGAGGTCAGGAGTTTGAGACCAGCCTGGCCAACAGGGCAAAACCCTGTCTCTACAAAAAATACAAAAATTAGTCGATGTGGCGGCGGGTCCCTGTAATCCCAGCTACTTGGGAGGCTTGGGCAGGAGAATCGCTTGAAGCCGGTAGGCGGTGGTTGCAGTGAGCTGAGATCATGCCACTCCAGCCTAGGCGACAGAGCAACACTGTCTCGGAAAAAAAGAAAGAAAGAAAAGAAAAAGTGAAATATTTGAAGAAGCTGCTTTGGCATTTCATGACAGGCCAGCAGGGCCAGCAGGAAGACTAAGTGAAGGCAGGACAGCCCTTCCTCCCCTGCATTCTGGAGGGGCAGAGAGTGAAGGTGGTCTCGGGGTATCTGAGTATTCATCTCCCCTGTGGGAGCAAAGCTCCTCACCAGTGTTCAACCAGGGAGGACTGACTGTGCCCTTGGACTGTCTGTGGCACCGTTGTGGCATCCTGTGGGTCCAGAGAGATACCTTTGGTCTCTGGGCTCCTATGATGTACATGGAGAGACAGGAGAGCAGGATCTGATGAGGACCAAGTGCAGGTAACAGATCATTCCTAGGAGAGAGGGGCTCTGAGGAGCAGGGTTGATCATTAGCAGCTCACACCTCAGTCCGTGCTGGCTGACAGTCCTGTAGACAGGTCCCGTGATCCTAAGTCCCTGGTTTGGGGGATGCGTTTGACCCTAGGTGAGGTACCCTAGGACAATAAGATCATAGTATTTCTTTCATTCTTTCATGTTCTTCATGGTGGCTGTTCACATGCAGGTCCCTCCCAGTCCTCTCTGTGCCCTGGGAGTTCTTTGAGGCTGATAGATGCGCGTCCCGGAGCTGACATGGTGCCTGGCACGTGGGAGATGCTAAGCTGCGGCTGTTGAAATTCACGCTGTAGTTGAAATTCACACTGTAGTAGAGACTCCATATGTTTAAAGACACAGAGTGACAGTCTAGCAAGCAGGCCCCAGCGAGGGAGGTACAGGTGTGATTATAACCCAGAGCAGAATTAAAGATGGAACGTGACCTGGTTTTGTAGGATTTGAAAGTTGGATAAAGACTTGTTCTGGCTTTCACACACACAATTGCCAGGTGTGTAAAACCACCCCTAATCCTCTGGTGGAAACAATGTGTGTGGTGGGGGGGTCTCGGGAATCCAGAGCAATGGCCCAGCCTGGAGTTGGGGGATCTCAGAGGCTGTATCACTCAGGCAAAGCTGATCATGGTGCAGGAAGAAACAACCCCCAAATTGCAGCGGCTTAGACAACAAAGGTTTATTTCTCGCTCACTACATATCCATTGCGGGTTGGTGGGTGGGAGTGGGGATTCTGCTCATCGCTTAGGACCCCAGGCTGGCAGAGGAGGGCTTCAACTGGAGAGCTGCTTGTATGTGGCAACCTGCGCCCAGGCTCTCAAAGCTTCTGCCTGAAAGTGACCCTCTGCTCATGCTCCACTCGCCGGGGCAGCCCCGACCTAACCTCCCAGCAGGCAGCGCATCACACGTTACAGGTGCCCGGAAGAGGAGAAACTGCATCTTTGTCAACAAAGACGACCACGAAGGGGAGACTGCTGATGGAGGGTGGTCAGGAGTAGGGGGGCTTGTTCCTGTCTGCGGGTTCTCCCCTATCTCCCAGGACTGAGCTCAACACAGGCACAGGCTGAGGCCTTTGGAAAGCTGGGCTTGGGGGCTTCTATGAGCTGGCAGGGTTTGCCTTCCTGAAACTTTCTCAGCAGATGGTGAAATCCAGTTTGGAATGCTCAGCTGGGCCCGGCCATTCTAACCTCATCTCAGCCGTCAGCTGTGAAACCACAGGTCAGGGCTGGGGTTGACAAAGCTACCAGGAACCAAAGCGTTGTTTTGTTTTTGTTTTGTTTTGTTTACTTTCAGGAACTAAGGAGAAGAAAAGTGAAGGACAGGAATACAATAATTAATAATAATAATAAAAGAAACTGGAAGCCAAGATGCCCCTGACCATGCTGGGAGCAGTGGAGAATTGGAACAGAGGGATGGATGGGCAGAGGGGACTGGGGAGGATGCCACAAGCCATCAGGGGTCAGAGGCCACCAGGAGGAAGAGTGCTGTGCTCTCGGCCCTCCACAGCGAAGGCCGAGCTTCCCAGCCGAAAACTGACAAAGGAGGAGAGGGCCTAGAAACAGAAGGATGTGGAGTTGGCACCTGTTTCGCTCTGGCTGCCCAGCCTAGATCACATACCACTGACCCCGCTATCACACCTGAGGTGCAGGGTTAACTGTTACTTTCTCTGGGAAGTGTCCCTGATGTCCCACCCACCACAGGGCTGGCCACCCCTCCTCTATGCTCTCTCTCTCTCTTTTTTCCCCGCTGTGATGGAGTCGTGCTTTGTTGCCCAGGCTGGAGTGCAGTGGCACAATCTCAGCTCACTGCAACCTCCACTTCCTGGGTTCAAGCAATTCTCCTGTCTCAGCCTCCTGAGTAGGGGGGACTACAGGCGCATGCCACTATGCCCAGCTAATTTTTGTATTTTTAGTAGAGATGGGGTATCACCATATTGGTTCAGGCTGGACTTGAGACCAGGTAATCCACCTGACCTCAGGTAATCCACCCATCTTGGCCTCTCAAAGTTCTGGGATTACAGGCATGAGCCACCATGCCTGGCCCCTCCTTTACGCTTTCTAAGCATCCTATATTTATTTGCACTCAGCTAGGCTGTGCCCTTAGGACCTAGTACCACCGCAGGAACAAAGACAGGCACTGTGAATTGAGAAGGAATGAATGATGGGGTTTGTGAGGTTCAGCATTTATTCCTCAGGAGGTGACCAGGCTGGTCAGAGGCACCTGGATCTGGGGACAGCTGAGCCCTCCCTGCTGCTCAAGACTGGCCTGGGCACTGCGGTGGGGCCAGTCCTGGCCCCTGACAACTCAAGCTCCTAGGTCCAGCCTAGACTCCAGGGACCTCCAGGCCAGCCCAAGGCTCTTTGAAGCAAGAATCTGAGTCTACTAAACTGTCTTGTCCCACCCGACCCCCCAGACTCCTCAGCTAGCTCCATCCCTGATGGCTACAGCTTCAGATGGCCCCCCATACAACTCACAGATACAGGTTCCGTAGCCTCACCCCTAACTCATCAGGCCCAGGGATACCCTAGTATTAGCCTTTCCTAGGAGGAGGAGTTTGCCCAACTTTCCCGAAACATCCAGAACGTTCCCACAGCTTCTCCTCAGTCTTTCTTTCCTGAATCTCTTGGGAGTGGACCATTCCTAGGCACTGGGAACCAGAAGTACCAACCTACCATCTACCTCTCAATGCCTCGGATTACCCATTTGTAAAACTTGGGCTGCATTTCATGCTTCTTACAGAGTTTAGGGGGCCATTAATATTAAAGCCCTGGATGATCTCTGGAAGACAGGGGCTCCGTTTTCATGATTTTGTCCTCTAGCTGCCCCACAACCTCCCTGGAACCTTCTGGAATGTGCTGCACAGGTCAAACTACAGCAGGGAACACAAGGACTGGTGGGGGCCGGCAAGTGGATGGCCTGGGGCCCGGGAACATTGAACCATGGCAATGACTGTGAGTGTCTTTTCAAAGGGAAGTGGCTCAACGCCACTCGCCTTGTGGTGGGTCTTTGGGCCCCAGGGAGTGCCCAGTCCTGGGCCTGGGGAGGGCAGCAGGGGAAGGGACCTTCAGAAGTGAGGGGAGGCCTGCAGGAAGGGCCTCCAGGTGGGAGTCAGCCTCGGCACCAGGCCCAGCTGCTCCAGCTGCAGCCGAGTGGGCCTGTAGGCCCCCAGGTTGCTGTAGACGGCGGCGGGCAGGCCGTCGTGGGGCCGCGGGGAGAAGTGGGCTTGGGGACTCGGGGCTCCCCAAGGACCGTGGTGGGGCTGGAACCGGGGCGGTGGAGGCGGGTGCGGGGCCGCGGGGCTGCCGGGCCCCGAAGACGCTGACACACTTCGGGTGCGGGGGTGGCTGCCCGCCGAGAGGCCGCTGAAGGGGTTGGAGGACGTGCGTTCACTGGCGGAGCCGCTGCTGCTGCTGAGGCAACCATTGGTGGGGGCTGCTCCGGTCGGGACGGGGGCGACCAGCCGCGGGGACTTCAGGCCCATCACGGGCTTGGAGGAGGCGTAGAGGTGGCGGAACTCCTCGTCAAACGGTTCCACCGCCTGGCCTGTGAACTTGGAGAGGATGTTCCGGTGCACGTGTCCACAGAGCCAGGTGAAGCTGGAGGGGAAGAGGAGACAGTGAGGGAGGAGGAGGGAGGGGGAGGGGAAACGGAGGAGGAGGGGAAGAGAGGGAGGAGGTGGAGGAAGGAGAAGGAGGGAGAGGGGATGTGGGAGGAGGAAGAGAAGGAGGAGGAGGGGAGGGGGAAGGGGAAGGGGAAGGGGAGAAGGGAGAAGAGGAGGAAGAGGAGGAGGGGAGGGGAGGAAGAGGAGGACAGATAGGAGGCTTCGCCGGCCCAGGCCCCAAGACCCTCCTGGGTGACCAGTCTGGGAGTTGTGGGACCCCCGGGGCAGGGACGGAAGGGGACCAACCCCCATGCCCACCGTCCCCTCCTGGCGGGCTTGTTTCATCCAGGCAGAAACGCTGAGAGGGAGACATTGCAACGCCTCTCTTACAGACGACAAAACTGAGGCTCAGGGGCCAGAATGTGTTTGCAGGCGAATAATTAAGAGGCCAGAGCGAATCCCTGGCCTCAAGACTCCCTCCTGGTGCTCAGATTGCAGCCCCTTAGAGGCTCCCTGAGGAGGCAGAAGGGGGCTGAGTCCCAGGCTCCCAGACTCCGCGCTCAGGGGAGTCACCCAGCAGCCCGGGCCTTCTCATCTCCACCTGTGGAATGTGGAGCGCCAGCTCCTTTAACCACACAGGGGTGGGGAAAGCCCCTGCAAAAGGCGGCTGCTCTTGGGAAGCCGGGCTGTGTTTTCATGAAAATCTAAAGCATTCCTGAAAGAGGGTTCGACTCCATTTTCAGGCACAGGGACCCAGCTGGGATGAGCAGGGGAGGAGCGCCATGCGGCCTGCGTCTCCCGGAGACAATGGGTGGAGGGGATGGTGGGGGGGTGGGGAGACACCCTCAAGGAGAGGCCTGGGGCCACCACTTACAGGTTTTAGGGAAAAACCAAATGCCTAAGGCAGTTATTACTTTGTATGATTACCAGATTTTTTTTTTTTTTTTTTGAGATAGTCTCGCTCTGTCACCCAGGCTGGAGTGCAATGGCACGATCTCGTCCCACCGCAACCTCCGCGTCCCGGGTTCAAACAATTATCCTGCCTAAACCACCCGAATAGCTGGGATTACAGGCGCCCGCCACCACGCCCAGCTAATTTTTGTATTTTTAGTAGAAGCAGGGATTCACCATGTTAGCTAGGCTGGTCTCGAACTCCTGACCTCGTGATCCACCCGCCTCGGCCTCCTGAAGTGCTGGGATTACAGGCGTGAGCCACCGCGCCCAGCCTGATTCCCAGATTTAACCCAAAATCTTTTCTGTTTCCCATGGAAAACTCCTTTCATTCTCCCCCCCCACCCCAACCCCCCGCCAACGCAATGCTTGAAACTCTGGTGACAGCCTAGATCTCCCAAGAGCACCAGGCTAGAGGATCCTGGGCTCATGCACAGGTGAACTTGAAGCAAGGGGAGAAGCATGGTCGGGGGAATGGTCTATGGTCGCCGAGCCAGGACAGCGCCAGAGCTGAGCAGAAACGGGCCCACCAAGGATGGGGTCGCAGCCCCCAGCCCCAGCCCACCTGTCTTGCCACCCAAAGGCCTGGCCTCAGCCCGGGGTTGGGAGTTGCCTGCTCTGCGAGGCAGGGCGGGGCCGCACAAGGCTGGGATAATCCTGGGAACAGCGATGAGGCTTTGTTTAAATCTCACCTCACGCAGGGAACCACCCACACCCCCAGAGAGGTAAGCGGAGCCAAGGACCAGCCCCACCACGGGACAGGAGGCAAGCGCAGGGACAAAGGGCCGCACTACACTCAGAAGCCAGTCGCCCTACGTTGTCTAAATCAGGCTACATGGGGCAATGTAGCTGCTGCTTTGCTCAACAGAACAAGTCCAAAGATGTCCTGGCAACTCCTCAGGTCCCCAGCACCTGTGTCCCCGATTGCACTGTGCCTGGCGCCAGAGCCCCCCCACACCTACACACCTGGGCATCTCGTGCTTTAGCTTTTTTTTTTTCTCCTTTTTTTTGTTTTTGAGACGGAGTCTCGCTCTGTCGCCCAGGCTGGAGTGCAGTGGCATGATCTCAGCTCACTGCAACCTCTGCATCCCAGGTTCAAGCAATTCTCTGACTCAGCCTCTAGAGTAGCTGGGATTACAGGTGCCCACCACCATGCCTAGCTAATTTTTGTATTTTTAGTAGAGACAGGGTTTCACCATCTTGGCCAGCCTGGCCTTGAACTACTGACCTCGTGATCCACTTGCCTCAGCCTGCCAAAGTGCTGGGATTACAGGTGTGAGCCACTGTGCCTGGCCATGCTTTAGCTTTTATACTTTTGATCACAGCCCATGAGCAGAAATACATTTTATTTATATTGTTGTTTGGCCCATAAGTACATAGCATTTATTTAATCATCTTCAGCTCATAACCACTCTACTCATTGGTCTATTCATCACCCATTTTCACTTATTTAGCTATTTAATTGGTGATTTTAAGTAATATAGTAAGCACTTATGAACCCACTACCTAAAAGAAAAGGTCACATCTTTTCAAAAACTTTTTTTCTCTTAAAATTTTTTTTTGGCAGAGATGGGGGTTCTTGCTATGTTGCCCAGACTGGTCTTGAACTCCCGGCTTCAAGTGATCCTCCCTGCTTGGCCTCCCAAAGTGCTGGGATTACAGGCATGAGCCACCACACCTGGCCAAGGTAGCATCTTGAGGATAGTCCACATCAAGCCATAGTGTCCCTCCTTGCATCCCTTTCCCAGGACCCCTGAACTAGAACTCAGCACGTCATGAATCCTGTGATCATAACAACCTTGCTTTCATTTTTCCATAATTAAAAAATTTTTTTTGTCTTTTGGTTTTTTTATTTTTTTGAGATGGAGTTTCACTCTTGTTGCCCAGGCTGGGGTGCAGTGGCATGATCGCGGCTCACTGCAACCTCTGCCTCCTGGGTTCAAGCGCTTCTTCTGCCTCAGCCTCCCAAGTAACTGGGATTACAGGCACCTGCCACCATGGCTAGTTTTTCTATTTTTAGTAGAGACAGAGTTTCGCCATGTTGGCCAGGCTGGTCTCGAACTCCTGACCTCAAGTGATCCACCCACCTTGGCCTCCCAAAACGCTGGGATTACAAGTGTGAGCCACTGTGCCTGGTCTGCAGTACTTCATTTTTGACTGTTGTGTAATACGGCACTGATGGCTGTCTCGTGGTGCATTCATCACCTCCCTCTGCTAAGCATTTGGGTTCTGTTGTGAACAGTGCTGCCGTGAACATTCTCATATGTCTTCTACCATACATGTGGACCAGCTTCTTGTGGAAATATACCTAGGAGTACAGTTGGTGGGTTTTAAACTAGGTGAATATTCCGCTTTTGGCGAAAAGGCCAAAATCTTTCCACAGTCATTGTCCCAATTTGCAATCCCATCAACAGTATGTGAAAGATCCCTGAAATCCACCATTTGGTATGGTCAGTCTTTTTCATTTCTGTGCTGGTTGGAGAGGTGTGAAATGGGGACTCATTCTAGCCTCGACTCACATTTTCCGGATCTCTCATGACACTGCGCATCTTTCCACATGTTTTTGTTTTGTTTTGTTTTTGTTTTTTAACCATGTGTTGCCTCCTTGGTGAAATGCCTGCTTACGTCTCCCACCCACTTTTCTGCTGTGCTCTTGTGCCCTTGTGAGTCTCAGCACTAATCTCTGTCAGCTGTGTGCATCTTCAATCGCTGCTTCCAGTTCATAACTGACTTTTCACTTGCTTTAAGATATCTTTCCTTCCTTTCCTCCCTCCTTCCTTCCTTCCTTCCTTCCTCTCCTTCCCTCCCTCCCTCCCTCCTTCCTTCAGCTGTGTGTGCATCTTCAATCGCTATTTCCAGTTCATAACTGACTTTTCACTTGCTTTAAGATATCTTTCCTTCCTTTCCTCCCTCCTTCCTTCCTTTCCTTTCTTCCTCTCTCCTTCCCTCTCCCTCCCTCCCTCCCTTCCTTCTTTCCTTCCTCCTTCCTCCCTCCCTCTCCCTCCTTCCTTCCTTCTTCCTTCCTTCCTTCCTTACTTCCCTCCCTCCCTCCCTCCCTCCCTCCCTTCCCTCCCTCCTTCCTTCTTCCTTCCTTCCTTCCTTCCTTCCTTCCTTCCTTCCTTCCTTTCCTTCCTTCCTTCCTTCCTTCCTTCCTTCCTTCCTTCCTTCCTTCCTTTTCTCATTCTATCCCCCAGGCTGGAGTGCAGTGGCTCAATCTCGGCTCACTGCATCCTCTGCCTCCTGGGTTCAAGTGATTCTCCTGCCTTGGCCTCCCCAGTAGCTGGGACTACAGGCGCCTGCCCCCACACCAGGCTAATTTTCGTGTTTTTAGTAGAGATGGGGTTTCACCATGTTGGCTAGACTGGTCTTGAACTCTTGACCTCAGGTGATCCGCCTGCCTCCGCCTCCCAAAGTGCTGGGATTACAGAGGTGAACCACTGTGCCCAGCCAAGATGTCAATGAACCAACATTCTTAATTGTAATATCATCAGATTAAGCAAACTTTTATGGTCAATGCTTTTTTTTTTTTTTTAAAGAAATCTACTAAGAGTTTTAAAGTTTATTTTCAACATTCAAATTCTTTTCATAAATTGCAAGTTGATTTGTAAACAAATGCATGCGAGGTGGGTAGTAATCCCGTTTTACACACGGGGGGGTATTTTTTCCACTTCCTCCTTTCCCCACTGCTCTGACATGCTCTGTCATGTGTGAGTCTGTGCCTGAGCTTTCTGTTCTGTGTGTCAATTTGTCCCTCTTCCAATGCCACATTGTCTTGATTACCGCAGTTTCATGACAAGTCCTGAACTCTGGTAGGGCAAGTTCTCCCTGCTTGTTTTTCTTCTTTGGATTTATCTTGGCTATTCTTGGAAAAGCACATTTTACATCATGACCTACAAGTACATAACCACACAATAATTTCCAGAACATCCTTTACCTCAGTGTGCTCTGATTTTTTTATTCTATTCTGTGTCATGTAAAAAAATTCTAGACATCATCTACTAAATTGATTTCACACCCCAATAATGGATGGTAAGGCACAATTGA